GCTTTCTCATGTTCAGTGCCCTGTAGTCTGCGAGCTTTCTCATGTTCAGTGCCCTGTAGTCTGCGAGCTTTCTCATGTTCAGTGCCCTGTAGTCTGTGAACTTTCTCATGTTCAGTGCCCTGTAGCCTGCAAGCTTACTCTTGTCCAGCACCCTGTAGCTAAGTAGTGATCTGCTTGATCTTGCAAAAATGGCTTCTAAAGCCACTGAGATGAATATCTCTGTCTCCAGACACCGTTGATTAAATCTGTAGAGATCAGAGCAGTGGTTGGTCTCTGGCTGCCGGATGCTGATTGTGTCTAGCGGTTCCCTCCTGCAGCCTGTCTCCCCTCCAAGATCATCTGCCACATGGCAAGCTTGTGCAAAGAGGTGACAGAACACTTTCACGGGATAGGAGCTCCACCGCTTTGTGTGTCTCGGACGTGACAGTTCCAAAAAGGATCAGACGGGGGTGGATAATGACAGCTGAATCCTCTGAATCCGAGTCGTGTAGATCGGTTATTAAGATGCATGTCATTATTACTTTCAGACAGCAGACTGCACGTTGTTGACACACTGCTAATGGGTTAGCGTCAGAGACGGGCTTGTTTGTTTGTGCTGCCAGAGCAGGGATGCTGTGAGACCTGTTATCATTAGCCTTAGCCTCCGTGTTTGGCCTCCTCAGACCTGCTGCCCCTGCTCCGTGTGGGTCTGTCTCACTGTGCAGCAGCGCAGGATTAGTTACACTGCTGTTCAGCCCCGATATCGGCAGGCAGGGTTAAGGCCTCGGGTGTTAGCTGGAGGGGGCTGGCGCAAGAGCTCTGGAAGGGACAGACAAGGATCAGTCAGGGGTTCGGATGGATGTGATCATATGTGAAAATCGACATCCTCTCTCGGGCTGGCCTGGTCCGCAAATCCACACTCGTTTCTTGAGATACGAGGCAGCTGGGTTCCTGAGGATGCCTTCCGATGTAACTGGATAAAAACAGGCTGCTGATCCCCCCCCTCCCCCATACTACATTCAGACTCAGATATACCAACACTGTCAGCCCAGCTGATGGACAGCAGTAACAGCTCACTGTGCTGCATCTGTTTGAAACTGTCTCTGGTGAAGAAATAAAACTGTGTTGTTCACTGTGCTGTCTCAGAGTGCTGTTACAAATGAAGACTTACTAAAGAATTCGTGTCTTCATGCACCCATATAGGGCCATATCTCAGAAGCTCTGTTTGATATGCTTGATCAATAGTCATTATAGAGCATTACATGATTTTTGTGCCTCTTTGGTCTGCCGGTGCTGCCCTCTGCTGTATTGGGGTCTGCAGCCACTATCGATGTGCGTATGAGCCCCACCCTCTCTCGCCCTCCCCCAGAACCACGAGAACGAGACGGCACTGCACTGCGCGGCCCAGTACGGGCACTCGGAGGTGGTGCGGGTGCTGCTGGAGGAACTGACGGACCCCACGATGCGCAACAACCACAGCGAGACGGCGCTGGACCTGGCGGCGCTCTACGGGCGCCTGCAGGTGGTGCGCATGCTGGTGCGGGCCCACCCCCACCTGATGTGCTGCGGTCGCGGCGGCCTGCACACACCCCTGCACCTGGCCGCCCGCAACGGCCACCGCGCCGTGGCACTGGTGCTGCTGGAGGCCGGCATGGACGTCAATGCCAGGGTGAGGGCGGTGGGGGGCGTCTGGGGAGGGCGGGGGTGGTAAATCCGAGAGGCCTGTGGTCCAGCTGGAAGCGAAATTGGCGGAAAGGGTGAAATCTGAGGCGTGGGGGGGGCTGGGGTGGAGGGAGAGGGGAGGAGATCAGAGATCTTTTGTCACCTGCTCCGTGTCCCTAAGCGCTGGCATCCTTCCTGCGTCATGTGACCTCCTGCCTCCCCCAAATACCAGGTTCTGCTGCGTAAGGGGTCACAGTGAAGGGAAGCCAGGTCGGAAATGGCTGTCTGCCTGCTGGCCGTGCAGCGGGAGGTGGACGGACAAAAGAACATTCTGGTTTCCCGCCCCCCGCCACTGGTTAGCTTGTCGCTACACCAGCATGCCGCGGCCTCGCGGGGCCTCGCTTCCTGTAGTACTCCTGCGGACCCACAGCACCAGATTAGACAGGAACTGGACAAACCACTTGGCTTCTGCGATTGCTGTGTGGGGGAAGTCATGTGATTTCTTGCCTTGTCACTAGGGTGGTGACGGGGATGTGTGATCTTCAGAACCCTGGGCTGGTAACCTGTGGGGTTTGTTCTGCCTTCATGGTGCCACGGCCTCAGGCCTCGAACCCCTATGCCCTGGCTCTGTGCAGATCCACATCAGAGTCCTATGTGTGTTTCCGAGGGTTTGTTTACCTTGAGACATTGGGGTAGGATATGAGTGCAGAATCCTGAACTCCCCAGTTCGACCAAGGAGATCTTAGGCAGTTGACATGACTGTTTATTTGGTTAAACATTTTAAATGAGTCTGAGAAGAGTGATTTGGCGAAGCCCATCTCCTGGTCGTTGGTTCTACCAACTCTGAAGCCGACAGATCTGGCTGGGCGACCAGGCAGGAGGCGAAGGAGCCAAACTCCGGACCAGAACGGGGAGCCAAAGGTGGTGGAGGGGAGAAGGGGGGCGAACCGAATAGCTGTAACGGCAAAGAAGTGGGTTAGACTTATTCTTTATATAGAACTTGAACCGCTGTGATTGGACATGACGACGTTCATAAGGTCTCCTTGTTTGAACTTTCGTATTCACTTTCATTTGTTTAAAGATGATAAAGAACATTGAAGTTCAGTGGACTCTCAGAAGTGAGCAAAGGAAGCTGATTGGAAGACCCGCAAATTCCTGTACGCACTCTGTGAGGGAATTGGTTTCCTGGTGACATCATCACCGAAATGGCATGGAGAGTAGAACAGTAGGAGGTTAGGTCGCAGGAGCCCAGTCCTTTTATGCTCATAAAGGGGTTCATCTTTAGAGGAGAGTGAATTTGGGAGTGATCGAACCGTGTGGCTCTCGAGTCTGTGCTTCAGCTCTGGTCAGTACTGCAGATCCAGGGGGCATGTGTGTTCACCATGGGAGGCAGCGGAGTAAGCGGTGGAACAGCAGGTGTCTTTTGGAATTCATCCTTCCATTTCTCCTGGAGCAGTGGGTCAGTGCTAATTGCTCCTGGCTGGCCATGTGTCATGTGACTGACAGCTGTGCTCCTCTCAGCATCAGCGGCTCTGCTGGGAGGCTTCAGGCTTCAGGCTCCAGTGCTGCAGATGGCAGCTGGCTCGGGTGGCTCTGCCAGCAGGTGGCAGAGTGGTGAAGGTGCAGCACCTGTCACCAGAGTGTCACGGGTTCCAGTGAGCTGCCATTGCTGAATGTACCCATTACCGCATACAAAGAACAGCAGCTTATATACGTAATTTTTTTAAATCACCTTAATTAACAAAGTCATGTGACAAGTATGAAAATTGTATGGGGTGCATTTGGTTCTGGTCATGACCGTATGGCACAGTTTGACACTGTATCTCTCTGCATCTTTCTTTCTTTCCCTCCCTCCCTCCCTCCCTCCCTCCCAGACTGAGAAAGGCAGTGCCCTCCATGAAGCAGCCCTCTTTGGGAAGATGGACGTGGTTCGCCTGCTCCTGGACGCAGGTGTGTCTCTCTCTTTCCTGGCGCCCTGACCTCACAGATGGAGCGGCTCGCACCCCCACACCCCTCCAGCCGAGGCGATTTCCCTGGGGACTGATGCCCACTGGCCTCGCTGGCGTCACTGGCCGCTTCAGAAGTGAAGGATAAATCTAGTTAAGCAGGCGGAGGGGATTATAGGAAGCGGCCGCTGCGGATTTCTCTGCCTCTGGACCGCTTGGTGCTGACGTTCACGCTGCTGACCCCGCTCTCTCAGCGTGCTGTCGCTCAAACTGCGATTTGTGCAGCCGCACTGGTGACGATGCACTAAGCCTGCATCAGGAGAGTCTGCCGACAGTGCTGCTGAGGTCAACTGACAGATGGACAGAGAGAGAGAGAGAGAGAGAGAGAGGCGATATCCAGATTTACACCAATTTCTTTGCTTGAGCTTGTTCCAGCCCTGACAGACAGCACTGATAGAGGTGCAGCCGTCTTCCACCTCTAGAGGGTGATGTTCACCCCCCCCCCCCGTTCAGGACCCCTAAATCGCTATTGTGCCCCATTTACCGTCAGCCAATGTGATTGCCCATAGCAGTATAAAGGATAGAATGGCTGCAGAAGGCAAATAAATCTTTTTTTTTTTGTTTATTTTCCTGGGTAAAATTTTCAGTCACAGAACAATCATCTGATTGGTGCTGATTGAAGCTGTAGGTTTGTCCAGACCTTGTGGTTAACCTGCTGGTTATCAGAGGGCAATGAGTGTTGGCTTCTTCCTGGACTGCGTTGTGACTGCAGGCTGGCAGTTATATCACGAGGGGTGGAGCCCCTGGGGGGGTGTTATCACAGCTCCAGCAATGATGGTCCTGCTTGGAAGATTCCTTAAGAGCCACAGGTCAAACTTCGCTCCCACACTCTGCTGCAGGGATTGACGCCAATATCCGGGACAGTCATGGCCGGACAGCGCTGGAAATCCTGCGGGAGCACCCAGCCCCGAAGTCTCAGCAAATCACAGCACTCATTCAAGGTAGGACAGCCAATCATGGTGTCAATTCAGCAGAGGAGAACCAATCGCTGTATTCAGGCAAAGCACAGGAGCCAGGTAAAGGACAGTTCATCCCCTCCTGAATCCCTGAATTTAATACACGTTTAAGCAAAAAAACACTCACACATAATTGGAAAATACAGAGTGTAAGTGCTTCCACGGCCAAACAGGCGCAGACTTTCGCATACACAGAGTGTCAGACAGCTCCGGCCGGCTGGCTGCTTCCCCTCTGCAGTGTGATGCCGGCTGGTGGATAAGCCTGCCCCAACACCACGCTGTCTCTGTCTATCTCTCTTGGTCTGTTTCATTCTCTGTCTCTCTTGGTCTCTATCTCACTCTGTATCTCTATCTCTCTTTATAGCTATCTGTGGCTCATTCTCTTCTTTCTGTCTTTCATTTTCTCTCTCTCTCTTTGTGTCTCCATCTGTACCTGTGGCTCATTCGGTCTGTTGTCTCTGCCTCTCTTTCTTCTTCCCTCTCTGTCTCTCTCTTTCATTCTCTGACCCTCTTTGTCTATATCTGTCTCTCCTCTGTATCTATGTCAGGCCGCTGCTTGCTGGGGATTGTCTGCTTGACACTATCAAGTCAAAATGGAATGTTCTTTGTAATATAAACCTGACTTTCCGTCTAACTCTAGAACACCTGGGAGAACCATTTATAATCACTCCACCAATGTGAGCACGGCCTAGCATACAGCACCTCCGGTTTGTCCTGGGACCCGGAAACAACTAGAAGGCTTAGTGCTTCCTCAATGCAGCCAAAGGATCAGCTCTACCTCTCAGACAGGTTTTGGAAGGAGAAGGTGCCTTAGAGGGAACTTCCCTGTGATTTACAGTAGGGGGGGTTAATGTTTGGGAGGCAGACTTTTGATGAAAAAGTTGCAGTTGGTTCTGATTCCTGTAGCCACCACCATGGAATAAGAACTGAAATGTGTAAATAAAATATCTTGTCCTAGATGAGATTTATAGTTTGGTTTGATAAAAGCACAAGTCAGACAAATAATGTAGGTCGCTGTGCATAAGAGCATTAGCTAAAATTAATGAAATGCCAAAAATGTTAGTGTTAGAACCACACAGCCATGTTGCTCTGTGGGCTGGTGTGTGTGTGCGTGTGTTTGTGGTGGGGGGGGGGTGTGAGAGATAGATTGAGAAAGAGTCCCATTGCAGATGCAGGCAGAGAGAGTGTGATGGTGGGGGGCAGGGAGGTGTATGTGTGTGGAAACTCATCTCAGGGGGACCGGAGGAAAGAGCGAAATCGGCATGTCGAGCCATGTCTGCCAGAGACACGGAACCACATCCTCCACATCCCATTCGGGAACGGAAGGAAATCCCTTGTCACTCTCCCGCACACTCTGCGGATTCTGCATGGACCGGGTTCATTCGGAGTGAGCCAGTCCGGTGGCATGACTTCGAATCTTTTGTGAGTGAATGATGGACTCGCAGCTGGTGGCCACCTGACATGCAGACCGGTGAATGCAGAAAGCCTTCAGTTACGGCTATTCGGCGGCTAGCAAGTCGCGTCTGCAACACGGTCCCCTTACCGGCCATAGCATAAGACGCAGAAGCCTGACAAATGGGATCCATTTATAAAAGGGTGACTGACGGTAGCATTGCGGGTGTAAATAGGCATGGAGGACATTAGCATTTCACGGTTAGCCTGGCAAAGCTGAGAGGGAGAGGGGGGCCACAAATGCCCCCCTGGGGGGGGGGGGCGCGCAGCAGCAGACTGCCCAGTCCTCAGTGTCAGTGACCTCCCAGAGCGTTCATGCAGGGGGGGCATATCGGCACCATTCTGGGGCTCACATTCTCTCTCGTGGGGTATGAGACGTGGCTAATATATTCCACATGTCTTGCCTGCGATTGATATCTGTGTTACGTTTCATTCGGCTGCGGCTTCACTCCTCGGTCCGCGGTCCTGGCTGCGTGTATCTGAATGTACATAGCTTGGCTAAAAATCACTGGCACAAAAATACCATTGTTACAGCCAGTTACTTCCTCCACTTCTCCATTGTTTGTCCTTTCTTTCTTTTTTCTTTCTCTTTCTGACTTTCCTCCCCTTCTCTCTCCACAGAGTACATGGATGTGGAGATGGACGGTAAGAGTGCCCAGGATGAGCCCATCCGACACTGTCCCATTCCCACCCCCCGCACCTCTATGTCCTCCCCGGCTGCCTCGCCCTCCCTCCGGATTAAAAGTAAGCTCCCCCCTCCACATTTGTGATTAATCTCCTTCCATGAACCCCCTCCTGTCGAGCAGAGCCAGCTCTCTCGCTTCCTGCCTGACTTTCCGTGCCCTCCCCATAAAAGAATATCTTACGATGGTGGATATTCATCGTGGTGGGGGGGTGTGAACTGTCTGAGAGACCTGTGCTGGATTTTCAGGTTTTTGCTCCCACCCGAAGTTGCTCAGATTAATTGCAGCAAGATGACATTACAGGAGCACAAAGCTTTCGCCTGTTAACAAGTAAAGAAATTTTGGTAACTGTTAGCACAATGGGATGTTCACTGCTGCAGTGCTGCAGGGCTGCATCGCGATTACAGATGAATACAGACAAATATACCCCCAGAGTCCTACAACCACACTGTTCATTTTCATTCAGCCATTTTGGGGGGGGGGGAATTAGGTAAACAGACGGGGTGCTGGTGGCCTGCTTTCGTCAGCCGTGGGAAGGGCTTGGGCAGACATCATTACTCCACATGGAAGTGGTACTCTGGTGTATAGGCGGAGCTTCAGGGCAGTCAACCAATAGCAGGGGGCTCAGGAGGTCAGCTGAGAGATGCGGTAGAAGAGTTCAGTGCTAAAACTGTAGGCAAATTAAAGTTGTAGGTGAATTCTAGAGCTAACATGTAAATGACCTGTCTGGCAACAGAGCTGTGTGGAACAGTAAGCTAGACAGCAAGAGGAATAGAGGTCTTTAACTGAGCTGTGTGTGTTCCTGTGGGACACACCTCTCAAGTCACATGGTTGGCGATTAGACTGAATGGTTGAAAATGACACACAAAAAAGAGGAATGAATTTTGAGGATAAGGCTTCCCTAAATGTGGTCAATGCTGCCCCCAGTGGCGAGAATAGGTACTGTCACACTGAGAACCTCTGAGTTGTGCTCTATGTTTTGCAGATGATAGATTTCCTCTGCTGATTTCTGACCCAAGGGGCCAAAATTACAGGCAGTTCAACTATATTACAGTTGTCTCCCATGGAGCCCAGGAGCATTCCACAATAGTTGTAAATTTGTGTGTTTAGCAATTTCCCTTCTCTTCGTCTTGTTTCACTCCCCCTTGCCTTCTTTTTAGTGTGATTAAGGACCTTAAAAGCTGGAGCAGTGGTGTGTTATCGACCATACGGGAAGTGACAAATCTGCCAATTGGAGAGCTTCGGGTTCCCAGCTGAAGGCTCTTACAGATGTCCTGTTTCAAAGCTGGCGTTGGCGTTCTCCTCGCTCCTGCAGACAGGCTTCTTTTGCGGGTGTTTATGTTGGGCAGCTCTCGGAAGGAGAGGAGGATCTGATTACGGATTTCTGAGGATTGAAACCCACTTCAGTTTTCTCTGTCTGCTCTCCACCCTCTGCCACACATCACTCACACCTTCATGCTAAACCCAAAGCCACCTCTACCTCCCCCAACCCCCCCCGCCGACTAAGAATCCCTTACCTACTCCCACACACTTATTTTAAGCCAATGATGCTACCTGCCAGACATTAATACTCATATCAGAAGAATTACAGAAGACCCACTGATATGTGCTTGGGAGCTTGGTGAGGCTGAGAAGTTCTGAGAAAGATTTAGGACCACATATAGCAGGTTACAGACCCGAGTCACAGACAGGGAGCTGCTGTTGGTGTATGAAGCCAGGACTTAATGATAGTCACTCCTCAAAATATATGACTTCATAAGTAATGGGAAGTGGTAAACTCCAGCAACACATCGGGTAGGAGTAGAGTGAGGTGACACTGATGTCCCTCATGCTGCGATAGATCATCTGCTACTTTCAGACTCTTGAGGATCCTGATGGAGGTTCAGGAATCTCCCAGTGACGGACCGTCAGGGAGCCCAGATGTTCTCCTCTGTGTTCCAGACGAGGCTGTGACGGGAGAGCTGTCCAAGCTGCTGAACGAGATCAAGATGTGCCGAGACAAAGAGTACTCCTTCGAGGACCTGTGCCATACCATCTCCTCACATTCCATGGAGAGCTTTGGCGGCGGCCGCCATGTTGACGAGCAGCGTAATGGAACTTTGACACGAGTCCACAAGGTGAAGGGGGTGGGGTGGTGCTGCCCGTTGTCTGTGAGTTTGGCAGTAAAAGGATGACATGGTGGGAAACAGTCTATAATCTGTGAGTCAAAAGTTTGGACACACCTGCTTTTAATGTATTATAATGTAAAGTCCGTATTTTAGCTATGTTTTTACCTTACAGTAAAAGGCCTCAAGGCAATTATGTAATACTTATCAAATATTGCAATGGCCAAGAGAAGTGTTCAACATCTCAAAATTCTGTCAAATTTTAGACTCTTCAAAATAGCCCCCTTTTGCTTCAGTGATATTATTACAGACTCTTGCTGTCCTGAAGGAGTTCCCACAAATTTTGGGCACAGATTTTAGTCTTACTCTTCTTTCCGACTCATCCCAAAGCAGCAGGGTTTAGGACAGGGGGGGTGGGGGCCAGGTCACCTGTCACATCACTGCATGTCTACCCCTGTTAACAAGAAAATGCTTAATGTCCTACATGACCTCAAGGTGAGCTTAGGGTCACTCTTTTGTTGAAAAACAAATGATTTTCAGTAGGTGTGTCCGGACTATTGCCTGGTACTGTAACTGTTCCTTTGAGGAGTTCTGTTTGACTTATTTTGCTATTGATCATGTTTATCAATATTATGAAGAGGGTAATGCATGTTCTTATTGGGAAATGCACGTCCTCATTTCTGTACATTGGCTTTTCCACACCAAACTGCTGCCTGTCCTGCCTGCTACCAGTAGAGGGCAGCCTGCACCAGGAATTAAAGTCAGGATAGGGGCACATTCTGTTTATATAATCGTTGCTATCTATTTATAGCAGAAATGGCTTTTTCCCTGTTTGCTTGCTGGCATAAGTCGGAGTGAAGGCACATATGCGTTGTGCGGTAAACCACTGCTGCAGATGCGCGTGTGTGTTTATGCATCGCACTGCTATGCAGTGGCTGTCAAGCAAAGTCTTCTGTATGCGGCATGTCTGATGGGGCTGCAGATCCGGGGGGGGTGGGGGGGTGGGGTTCCTTTGGCATTTTCTCCGGTAGCTGGTTCTCGGCTGTACGGATATGGGTTAGTCAAGATGAGAGACCTGGGGGTCTCTGTGGTCAGCAGCAGCTGGATGAAAAGTGAGAGTGAGAGAAAAGAGAGCAGTGAGTAAGAAGGTGGAGGATAAGTCTGAACACCATGGAGGTTAGACCCCAACCCAGTGGACGACTGTAATCCCACATTCTACGGCGTGGAGGGTCTGTGTCCAGCTGGGCCGGTTTAGAAGTGTCTGTCAGTGACGCAGCGGAGGATCATCATGGTGGATTTATGATGTGATCGTGACGGAAAAGGATCTGCATCACAGGGGATGGGAGGTGCCAGTGAAACAATTCGGTGACATACATGGCCGCCTAGGGCGCCATCTTCTGAACGAGTGCCAGGTTAACACGCCAGCGTCTCTTTGTCTTGGACCCTCCGCAATGCCGGCACGGAAGAAGTATACAGTTGTGTTGGGGTGGGCATTGACTGGCATTAGGAGGTGCAGTGTTCACAAAACAGCTCTCAGGTCTCTTCAGTTACATTCTCTGAAGAGAAAGATCTGCTTGTACCTTCACACTTTGAGGTAAACACCAGGTTGATCGACATTAAACACGAATGCCCCCTCTTTTCCTGGCCAGTGAAGCAGAATTGGCCAAATTTATTATCGCTAAGAGAAGGGATGGGCAGGCTGCTCACATCTGTGCTCACTTTAAGTAATGATCCTGGGTGCTTTGCCTCCCCTGCATGGTAGGTACAAATTCAGTTAGAGGAGCATCTGCGCCTGTTAAGTAGGGATTATGGGTAATTTTGTGGTAGGTGTCATTATTCTATGCCACAAAACGTATCGGACTTCTGTTGGCTCTTGGTCAGATCAGTCTTGTATATTTTATCTTTCCTGATGCCTGCACTGTTGGTTGGTCATGTTCTGTGTGTGGACTAGATCACGAGTACTGGGTGCTGGGTTCATGAACTGGGTGATTGTGAGTGCTGGCTGTCAAGGTATATGAACTGGTAATGGTGAGAGCTGGGTATTGGATGTATAAACTGGGTAATGATGTGTACCAGATGTTTGGTATATGAACTGGGTGATGATGAGTACTGGGTGTTGAGTATATGAGATGGATGATAAGTACAGGGTGTTGGATGTATGACTAGGATGATGATGAGTACTGGGTATTAGATGAATGAATAGGATGAGGATGAGTACTGGGTATTAGATGAATGAATAGGATGAGGATGAGTACTGGGTATTAGATGTATGACTAGGATGATGATGAGTACTGGGTATTGGATGTATGACTAGGATGATGATGAGTACTGGGTATTGGATGTTTGAACTGATAAGTGATGAGAATTAGGTGTTGGGTATATGAACTAATAATGGTGAGTGCTGATTGGATGTGTGAAATGGGTAATGACTAATACTAGATACATGAATACTAGATACATGATGAGTACTGGACTTTGTGTATATGAAGTGACTGACAAGTACTGGATGTTGGATGTATGACCAGGATGATGATGAGTACTGGGTATTAGATGAATGAATAGGATGACGATGAGTACTGGGTATTAGATATATGACTAGGATGACGATGAGTACTGGGTATTAGATGAGTACTGGGGATTGGATTTTTGAACTGTGTAATGATGAGTCTCGACTGGTATCATGGTTGATATGTTCTTCATGTTGGTGGGTACTGGCCACTTCTCACCGTCCCCTGCTTCCTTGCTGTGACAGCGACGCTCTCCTCCACTGGCCCCAGCTCCCGAGGAGGATGAGAGCGAGAAGAGCTGTGGCCCAGCAGTTCTCTGGGAGGCGCTCACGCCCTGCAATGGCTGCCGGAACTTGGGCTTCCCTGGATTGTCTCAGGTACTTTATGATCCTGGATCTCCTCACCTTTGCTCATAAAACACGGAGCTAGTAACCTGCACTCCTGTGCACTAACACTCAGCAAGGCCCACACTGAACTCTACTGTAAACAGAAAGTTGTGCAACAAACTCTGCCCTGACCTCTACGGTCAATTCAGCAATGTACCTTTCAAATACATCCTTCAGTATACATATAGTTTGCTTGACTGCATGTATATTTTGCTTTATACTTGATTACATATGTACTATTATTTATATCCTTTAGTATATCGTTTGCTTGACTGCAGTATATATTTTGCTTTGTATTTGTTTAGATATATATTATTCTCTATATACTATCCTTTAGTTTAACTTTAAAAATTTCCCTGCATGATACTGGGTGCTGTACCCTCTAGTGGACCGTATGCTGCTTCCGGAAGCTAAAGCCTAACCCCCCCCCCCCCACCACGCGGTGTTTGTGCGTGCTGACAGTGTGTGAGGCCCTTCCTGATCCTCGCGGAGGCATCCGGCAAATACCACAAGCATCCGCCGATGCTGGGTCGGTCGGTGGAGAAGGTGACGCGCAGCTCGGTCAATTGTGACGCGCGTGTTTCTTTTCTATGGCCCACTCCCGCGCAGTAGCACAGCCCGCGATGCCCCCGCGCCCTGTACGCGCTTCTGTGTGCTGCTGCGTCGCCATGGCAGCGCAACGAAGGTAAGCAGCGCTGACGGAGACGGCCATTCCTCTGTCAGCGAGCAGTCTCATGGCATCAGCGCCCCCCGGAGTCAAACGCAGCAAAGCGCTCCAGATTAAAGGATTAGAAAGAGGATGTCGCTAATTCCGGGGACGAGATCTGGGCAAATTGGACAATTGACATTTTTGTTTATGCACTATGTCCCGTGGATCGCAGGCGTCCCACTCGATGGCTACATCAGGATCTTCCAATGAAATTTTTTGGGTGAATCGCAGATCTTGTGAGGTCATGTATCCATGGTTATCTCTCTTCTGAGTGTGTTTCTATTCTGACCACAGTCCTGTCCCTCTTACCACAGATCCTTTGTATAACTGACCAAAGGTCTATATCCCATGACCACAGGTTTCACATGTCCCTGATCACTGATCTTCCATGTTTTTTGTCTGTCATGATCTGTCAGTCATTTGCCCATTGCATGGCCTGTCAGATGTTTTCCTCTAAACTGTAGCCCCAAACCACCGCTGTGTGTGGTGGCGAAGACCCTGTGTAGAGACATACGCGGAAGTGATTCGTAGATGCTTGACATTTGCTGAATGAGGGAGAAAGGGGATGGAGTGCTTCAGGTCTCCAGGGGACAGTGCAGCTGTCACCCCCCCCCCCCCCCGAGACGGGAGCCTCCCTCTGCTAGAGAATGCTGGCAGGCCTTCTGAGGGGGATGTGGTCTGCTCTGCAATCTACATTTGAGATTTTTACATGATGGCAGAATGTGTGTTGGATTATGGGGTCCTTCATAAGAACAGTCTCTCTTCTGTCCCACCATCTCTTAGAGTGTCCTGTAGTCCTTCAGAGGGTCTCCTGTCCCTCAGGGTATCCTGTATTTCTTCAGAGAGCCCCCTGTCCCTGAGAATATCTCGTAGTCCCTCAGAGAATCCCCCGTCCCTCTTAGTATCCTGTACCCCTTTGGAGAGCCCCCTATCCCTTAATGTCCTGTAGTCTTTCAAAGAGCCCCCTGTCCCTCAGAGTGTCCTGTAGTCCATCAGCAAGTCTCATGTCCTGCAGAGTGTCATGTGGTCCTTCAGAGACTCCCCTGTCCCTCAGTGTTCTGTAGTCCTTCAGCAGATCCCATGTCCTGCAGAGTGCCAAGTAGTCCTTCAGGGAGCCCATGTCCCTCAGTATCCTGTAGTCCTTCAAAGAGCCCCTTGTCCCTCATAGTGTTCTGTAGTCCTTCAGAGAGTCTCTTGTCCTGCAGAGT